GGAGACTTGTGCTGCAGAGGACACATGGCTCCGAACAGCTCGGCACTGTGCTCTGTCTTCTGAGGCGGGCGGTGCACCCACCACTGGTGAATCCGCCCTGCAGTGGGGTCAGGCTACTGGCTGGATGCTTTCCTAGGCCGTGCAGCTCAGTCCATGCGCAAAACGCTTAACTTCAAGTCCTGGGCTGTCTTGGACCGTCGGTCTGTGTCATCCAGGGGTAGCTCATCAGGAGATCCCCAAGCGCCTACTGCGAAATGAGAATGAACCCCTGCGCTGGGGAACTCAGTGAATGATCAGATGTGCCACGTGCTAGGTCAGTACTTTCCCTTTCCCTGTGTCAGATCCCCAAAGCCGAGGGAGACATCATCATCATCATCATCATCATCATCATCATCATCATCGTTGCTCCTGCTGTTTCTGTGCTCAGCTCACAGGCATGGCAGCTGGAGTCCCAGGCTGAAATCCCTACTCCGCCACTTTCTAAGTGGGTCTCTTGGATAAATTGCTTCCTCTCTTGGCGACTCAGTTTTCTCACGCATGGTGGTACCCACTTCCAAGTTATCATGCATTTAAGCACTTGGAACAGTGCCTCACGAGGTGGGCAGAGGCTGCTCTAAGGCCTCTTCCTTTGCCCGTCCCCGCCCCCTTGCTCAGCCGTGGATGCCTTAGGTGGCAATGCTTCACTGCTTGGCCACAGCCAAGGGCCTCGCTTTCATCGATGTTGAACTTGTCGCCTTGCAGCTGGAAAGACCATTTGATTAATTTGCTTGTTGAGAAAAAACAACATCAGTGTCTCTGGTATCACGGTGAAGAGAATGGAATCGGCCTTGGGAACATTTGGTTTTGGGAACCAGGCTGTGCCCTGTCCCACTGGTGACCTTGGGCCGGTCCAGTCACCAGATTTCTTCCATGTCTGTTTTCTCACCTGTATGAGAAGGAGAATGGCACCTCACAGGGCTGCCTCGGGCCCACGCGGTGACACGGAGAGGAGTGGGTGTGGAAGCATCTTGCTAACCTCTCTTGAAGCTTTGGCTTTCTTTCTTTCTTCCTTCCTTCCTTCCTTCCTTCCTTCCTTCCTTCCTTCCTTTCTTTCTTTCTTTCTTTCTTTCTTTCTTTCTTTCTTTCTTGCTTTCTTCTTTTTTTATTGATTTCAGAGAGGAAGGGAGAGGGAGAGAGATAGACACATCAATGATGAGAGGGAATCATTGATCAGCTGCCTCCTGCACACCCCTACTGGGGATTGAGCCCGCAATCCAGGCATGTGCCCTTGACTGGAATCGAACCGGGGACCCTTCAGTTTACAGGCCGATGCTCTATCCACTGAACTAAACCGGCCAGGGCGAAGCTTTGGCTTTCCGATGTGGGAAGTGGGACGATGACACCCTCCTGTGAGCGTTCAGCGAGAAACGCCACAGAGGAACTCAACACAGAGCCTGGCCCACGCTGACTCTCAGCATGTGCTGGTCATTGTGCCCAAGGTCCCGTGCAGACGTAAACAGGCACGGACTTGCAGGATGGCTGCCCAGCGCTAGCGCACGGACCACGGCTGGGAAGCA